ATTTTTCATAATGTATGCATGTATATACAGAGTAAACAGTTTCCATTTTTATTGAATTTATTGCATAAAATACTTTACTATTTTTCTCAAAAGGCACTTGGCAAATTGGAGATTCCAGGGTGAGCTACAATTTTTTTTTCTTCCCTAAGGCTGGAGTCAATTACTAGCCCAGCTGATCTCACCTACATAAAATTTTACTTGGATTTTTCTCCAAAATCATATGACATCAGGTATGCCTAGGAAGTGACTTCTTGGATACTATGTGCTTCTGAAAGGCATCTCTTGTGTAAAAAAAATAATTAAACAGAAACACAATGGACAGCGCATGTTTACTTGGAAACCATAATCATTAACCCCATGGACTAGCATTATCTGCATGATAAGTCACATTGTTGGGATTCACTGGGCCTAAATCATGCTATTGGAAAGTACATCTCCCTGCTCCCTAGTATGAGTTTCCCCTCTAATTCTCAGTGAGGGGAAAAAATGCCAGAGAAAGGGCAATGCAAGTTTGCACTCAGGAGGACCAAGGCTGCCACTTCCATGAAGAGGAAAATTTATAAATACCCCCTGGAAGCCTGCAGAAGACAGGTCACTCACTGGATTTGATATTATTATTATAAATTTTTTATTACTTTTTTTTTTTTTAGGGCTACAGCCATTTTTGGTTTTATGGGTGGCAGATACGGGGAAGTCATGGGCAGACCCAAGAAGGTTTTTAAGTAGTATGAAGAGATGGGAGATATTGTGTTAAGAAACAAATACACATCATCTTTGCATGTGTTGGGTGTTCTTGGGTCTTATTTTTGGAATAATTTACAAACTGTAATCAAATGGAAAAATATAAATCAGAAAAGATCAGTAGAAATACGAACACGAACAATAATCTAAAGATATAGCCTATATACTAAATAATGGTTGCCTTATTTTTGGATCTTATTTCTTTTGATGAATTTACTTATTATAAAAGGATAATTGATATAAAGCAGTTTGGAATATATCCTTGGAACTTTGCTTTTCCAGTGAAACCAAATTCTAACCAAGATGAAGTTAATAAAAATTACGTGCTTGAATCTTTCCATGCCCGCTAGGTTAACCCTGCATGAGCATACTTTCTTTACATACATACAGTTACACAAAACACATAACCTAAACGTCTTCTATTGTGGGTGTGGGTGTCTGTGGGTGGGTGCCTCGGTGGGTTTAGTTGGTGGGTGCACCCCTGTGATGCTCCATCCATACAATCAAGCAAAAATGAAGATGATAGTGTTTGCTGGTAAATCATTGGTCTCCATATTTTTCCTATGGTTTTGCTAATAGTGGCTAGTAATCTACACCATACTCATAGTAAACAGAATATTCATGAATGAATTAATTAATGATTTTTTATGTATTTAATTAGTGGAAGGTTATATAGTCATAACTAATTATTATTTCTCTCTCTCAATCTCTCTCTATCTCTCTTTCTCTCTCTGAGTAACTGTTGAAAGTTGATTTATTGATCAGTAGATACAATAATCAATTTATTTGACTGATACATAAAATGTAAATATATAAAATCCCATTCCACATTTCAAAAACATTTAAAAGTGAACAGATGGTATATTTCATATCTTACATATTACAATTTGATGTATTGCAAGCCTCCCATTTACTTGGTGCATGTCTCAAGTTTCTAAATATCCATTTATCGTGATTTTATTCAAAGAAGTTTACATAGAAGATTCCATAAATCTGATAAAATATATATCTTGTAATAATTACGATAGATGTGTGCACCCACACCCACAATGATTAAAAAATAAAAAAATAAAAAAATAAATAAATGCATTAAAAAATTATAGATCAATTCAACGGCCAAACTAAAATTCTGTTTTTATCTTTTGTTTGTATGCTGAACATAAATCCAATGTTCACATTTTCCTATAATCAAAATCTATGATAACCATGTTATACAAATCAATATGACACTTACCTTCACCCTTTTCTTTGTTTAGAGCCTGAACACCATAAGTTTTGTCATTCTTATCATTTGGATCTCGGAGGAGAGCATTTTCAAATTCTTCAAAATCACTCTCCTTGATACTAATAACATTGTTCAAAGAGCCAATGTTATTATCACAAGCAGCCTCATTTTCATTGTACTTCCATTCACCATCAACAAGAAATTTATATTCATGATGTCCTTCTGGCAGGTCCACAATGGCAACGAAGTCTTTTTCACTGGAAAAGTATACATGAATTAATATAGGACATTATATCCCATTAGTGATGAGTGATGTGTTATCATATCATAGCAAACAGTAACAGATTGCCAGGATGCAGTCTCACACCCAAGTGTGATCCAGGCATGGAGCAGCACATGCGAGCACACATGTCATCACCAGGTCTTACCAAAACCTGGTGTATTGTTTTTGGGTTAAAGACACTGCCTTGCAGAGAGTTGGGACATTGGGTAAAGAAAATCAAAATTAAGTTATGACAGGTTTTGAATAACTATGTATCTTAAGAATCATTAATATAAATATAAAAGTCCACAGAAAAAAATGATTATCATGAGAAGAGCATACCCAGCTAAAAGTCAAATACTTTCTAGCTCATTTTTAACGTATCTTTGCTGCTGCTAAACTATACTGTATATATACATACATAATAGAAAAGAGGAAAGAAAGAAAGAAAGAAAAAAATATTTATATATTAAAAAAAGGTATATATACAGTATAATATATATATATATATATATATATATATATATATATATATATATTTATATATATATATATATATATATATATATATATATATATATATATTTTATATATATATATAATATATATATATATATATATATATATTTATATATATATATTATATATTATAATATTATATTTTATATATATAATTTATAATATATATATTATATATATATTTATATATATATATAGATATAGATATAGATATATAATAATATAAATAATGTAAATAATAAGTCTATATATATATATATATATATATATATAATATATATATATATATAATATATATATATATATATATATATATATATATATATATATATATATATATATATATAATATAATAATATATATATATATATATATATATATATATATATATATACTATTATATATATACATATATATACATATATACATATATATACATATATATATATATATATATATATATATAATATATATATATATAATATACATATGTGTATAATATATATATATATATATATATATATATATATATATATAAAATATATATATATATATATATATATATATATATACATACATACTCATGTTTATATATATATATGTGTGCATATATATATTCAGTAATAGGTTTGCCATTGAGGTACCGTATTGTAAGGATGAACAGGTAGACTAACACAGTCGCAAAGAATTTCAGGTTACTTTAGACATTTTGAAGGAACAAAACTATACCTCCATCATCAGTACTGTTAAAGAGAACAAAAAAGTCACACAGATAATAATAATATATAAAAATAGTGGTTTTAGTAATTTTGTCAAATAAAAATAATGGGTACCCATTAGTTATAAAGAATACTTTGAGAAAAAATGTTTCGTCAAGAAAGGTTGACCAGTTGCTACATAAGTTGTAGGGTCGGGTGATTAGAGTTTTGATGCTATTAATTTTGTACAGATAAGGAATATAGCTGAGGTAGTGAAGTCCGAGGCCAGTAAAGGCTGGCTTTCGGTAAATGCTTGTGTGGAAGATGCCATTGTTATTAGTGACTAGCGTGTCCAAAAATGGTAACTGATAGTTTTCCTGCATCTCACATGTAAATTTGATGCTCGCATGTTTTGAGCTAAATGTATGTTAAAAATTGATTTACGTGTGATGGGTATTTGAAGGAGAAAAGTGTCATCGATGTATTGACGATAATAGATGGGTTTAAAGTTAGACTGACATTGTTCAAGCCAGGTTTGTTCATGATAACAAAGGAATGCATTAGCGTAGGAAGGGCCTAATGGGGATCACATTGCTACGCCGTCTGTTTGACTGTATAAACAATCATCATAAGTAAAAATCAAGTGATGGGCTGCGATTTCAAGCAATTTTTTGAAGTTATCTTTTGACCATAATCATTGAGATAAGTGCTGTTCAGATTGTTGACTATTATATCCGTGGTTTCAAAGAGGGGGACATTAGTGAATAATGACTCGACATCAAAACTCAACATGGTGATGGATTGTTACAGCTTAAGAGATGTAATTTCATTCACAAAGGTAGTGGAATTTTCAATTGTATACTGATTGGTGGTTACAGTAGGAACCAGAAATTTTGCAGCGTTACAGTTAAAAATACCAATCGATGAAATGATGGGTCTTTGAGGAGTATTACGTTTATGAATTTTAGGGAGTCCAAGGAGTAAACCAGGTCTGGAGCCAGAAGTCATAAGAAAATTATATGTGTTTTCATTAATTGATGTTTTAATTGCTTGTAGTAGTCTATATGTATAACAAGTTAGTTGATACCTCAGTGGTGATTCGTTTGAATTTAGTGCGGTTGCTGAGAATATTCATGATCTTTTGTTTATAATCACACTTGTTTCAGATGACAACACCACGACCCTTGTCTGGTTTGGTAATTATTAGAGTGCTGTCATTTTTAAGTGTCTGTAGAGGAGATAGGAGCACCTCTGTATCACGTGCCTGTTTTATCTAACGTGACACTTTCTTAAAAGTGTTGTTAGATATCGTGGAGATATTGTGAGTAATATTATTGAAGTTACTTTTATAAATGTTACAGTTTTTAAGATTATTGCACAGCTTCTCAAAATACAAGTAAAACATGTGGAAGCTGACTTTAGTCGGGGGCATACAGTAGTCTAAGCCAAGGGATAGTATATCTTTTTGTTCATCTGTAAGAACTTTGTCTGAGAAATTGAATATAACTTTGTTCTTATCCACTTTTTTCTGAACATCAATACCCAAGTTCAAAAG